ATATATTGAACATTGTAAGAGAACAAAGGTAACATCTGATTCAAGTGAACAAGGAAGCTAGATTTCCTGAAAAGAAGGATTAAATGGAAAATCATAATGAGAAAAAAGTGAAGAAAGATCCTGTTTCCTCTGCAAGAGCTTGCATTTCCATAGGCTCAAAGCCAAGTCAGAGGTGCAGCACTGTACATATTTCCACAGGGGACACAGCAGCTCTAAGGAAGCACCCTGAGGTCCAGCCTTGGTGCTCAATGTGTTTCCAACACAACAGTAATCCTTACACAGTGTTAGGAAATGAAGAAATATGTACAGCTCTCAACAGGTGGAAGGTTCACAGAAACTCTGGCTCATATTCTTGAGACAAATAAAAGCCCAGTAAGTCATAGAGTTTCCTGAGTGTCAGCAGATGAGGCTTCAGGCATTCAGATATGATGTATGAGACACCTGACGGACATTCTCAGTCCCACCTGCATCTCAGGCTGGATACCAAGGTGAAGCTCCCACCAGCTCCTGTGATAGCTCAGCCCTAGTGAGACTAAATAATGACTGCAGGCTCGGGCACAGCTCTTTGCACTTCTGCATACCCTCAACAGTCCTAACAGGAGAAAGGCAGGCACCACTGAGACACCATCTCCTAGCTGCCAATCTAGCTATCAAATCTCTCTTTGCCACTGGCCACACAGTTGCACTTACCAACGTCTGCTCTAAAGCTGAAAGTGGGAGTAAATGTAAACATATTAAATGCACAAGGAAAAAAAACTGGGACTGAAGCTACACGGACGTACTTCCATATCACAACCAACAGAGGAGAATCAGTGACATGTCATTTTATTGAAACTAAAGAGCTGCACACAGTATTTGTTCTGTTGCACATTTCAAGAACTTTAATTCCTCTTACTGCAGATTAGCTATGACACTCCCACCATTAATAACTCACAACTGACTATAGTTAGCAGAGGAGTAGAGATCCAGTTCTCCTTTTTCATCATAGAAATATCAGAAATATTACTTCCAGCTCCAAATATCCAAGGCACTATGAGGAGCAACTAAAAGCAAAGAGCATTTCATTATGAAGTAATCATAAAACAGCACAACTGTTCTTTTCCTGATCCTAACAGACAGAGATAGATCTGTGATGCCATGCAAAAACAATTGGCAGTAGTTCCTTGGGTTTAGAAAGCAGCCAGGTAAAACACACCTCTCTTCCCCACAGCAACAGAGCCTCTTTTATAATCAAAAGTGAAAACATGCCTTGAACTGTAGGGCATTGCTCTGCATCCCCAAGTTAAATCCACTTATACAGGAAAACCAAGAGCCTCCATCCCAGCCTGGTGGGGGCAATTGGCACAGAAACCCGACTGGTCTTGCACAGTAACGTGTCTCTCCTCTCCTAGAGCTGCAAGGGTAAGAGATACCTGCCCTTTTTTGCATTGTTTGCATTGTTCCTGAAATACGGATGTCTACATTATACAGGAAATATGAATAGACTTGTGAGCACTTCAGCTTGAAAATAAATTCACAGCTCTGCACCCTTTGTTCTCAGTCTCCAAGGTTACCACTTGTGCTTTTCATGAATGCTACTGTTTACTTCCTTCCTTTCCTTCTTGTTTACTTGTTTAGAGCATGGAAAAATACAGACACTAAAACGCCCTGCATTACAGACAGCTTCCATTTCCAGATGAGGACAGAAGGTGGACAGAGGTGCCAGTGACAAATCTGCCAAGTATGTTCCATCTCAGCAGTCTGTGAAAAGGGCTCAGAGAAAGCTACCTGGCTTGGGGCAGCTGATGTTTATGGCTCTAATACAGTCCTGGATCACAAAACCCTGCCTACACCAGATTTTCACACACAACCTGGAGGAACAAAGCAGCAAGAGATGTTTGGGGAATGCAGAAAGGGAAACAGTGTGGAGTTGTGTTTTCCCATGCTTTGAAAAATGTAAGCTCCACAATTAAAACTATGCCTCAGATAACATTTAGCTTCAAGTGAGCTAGAGGGTAGACCTCACTTTGGAAGCTCAATGGGGCCAAGACCATCTTTCCAATAAGCTTGCAAAAAGGATCTTAGTCTAGGACTGTAGCTATATCTGTACATCAAAAAGAAGTAAGGGTTGCTGTAAGAACTTAGAATATAATTAAAAATGCTTGTATTTACACTGACACTATTAAATGAGGCTTCCAAAACTTCCCTAGTGATGGAGAAAAAAATCCATGAAATCCTAAAATATCTATTGCAGTAATGGCTTTAATATTTTTGAACCATGAGAACATGTATTTACTCTACTTGTGTTTTGGGCCAAAAGTACAACTAATGAGATCTGAAATTCCATTGTTTTTAACTGAAGCAAAGTTTTATTCACATACCTGCTGAGCTATTTGGCATTTGGAACCCAAATCACAAAAAGGAGATGTGTTTCAAACCTCAAGATACGCTCAAGCATTCTAGAGAGCTTCTTGTAGGAGAGCACAAGCATTTGAAATATTTGAAGCTAGATTCAAAAGAGGGTGCTGTGCAAAAGCACTGTAAGTATCAAGTCTCCTGTCTATTAATAATTTCTCATCTATCAGAACTATGAAATGGAGAAACTGTGAACAAATCTTTCAACAGGTAAGCAAAACATACTTTGTTATAACATATTAATCATAAAAATGACTCTTGAAAATATTAAAAATTACTTTTTGTAATTTTTAATTACAAGAATAATAAAAAATTACTCTTGAAAAGATTGTGGTTTGAAGTGAAGACATTTCAGGAAGAAAGGTATTAGTTAAGGAACAAAATATGACTCGGAGGAGCCAGGTGGGAAAAGAGACTGGAAAGCAAAGGCAGGACTACAATCACCAGTTTTCCCAGGTGCACCAAAAAGCAGAGAAGGTTACTGAAGAGAAATTTCACGCTAATCAGAACTTGGTTTACTTTTCTTTTTCCTAGTACAAATCCTACCCCTTTGCCATGCTGGATCCCATCTGTTGTCATCCTTGACAATGCCCTCAGGTGACCATGAAGAGCCATAAAGCACAGGGGCAAATGAAGCACCAATAAAAATGTGCACATACCCTTCAGGCCCATGCTGCTTGGGCAAGCTAATGAGTTCCTGGATTTCTGAATTATTTTTCACCAAACTGAAGTGTTATGAGGCTGGCACAGCCCAGGTGTCCCAATGAGCTGTTTCCTGTAGGTAAGGTAGAACCTTTACAGGAAAAAGGACAGCCAGCAGGGAACAGCTTAACAGCCCAAGTGACTAATCTGTCATCCCCTGTAGTGGCAGGTCTCCAAAATCCCTTATGCATTCCCCAATACTTCTGCATTCCCCAAACATCTCTTGCTGCTTTGTTCCTCCAGGTTGTGTGTGAAAAACTGGCGTAGGCAGGGTTTTGTGATCCAGGACTGTATTAGAGCCATAAACATCAGCTGCCCCAAGCCAGGTAGCTTTCTCTGATGGATCTTCCCTTTCAAAGAAAGGAAAAGTGTTATCAAGATAAAAGTTCATATTCTTCATGACCCTCATTTTGAATCTCACCAGGAAAATGTGGAAACTTCCCTTTACCTAATGGATAGTATTTTTCAGAATTCAGTGCCATAAATTTTATATATGCTATCAATTACATCAAACACCAGGAAAAATGCTTTACACAAATGTGCAGGAGGGCAGGAAGTCTGACATAGCTGTTCTTCAAAGAAAACAAAAATGACACATGAAGATGATGGAGAAAATCGATTTTTCTGAAAGTACAGAGAAATAAAGGCCCTGGGTGTAGCACCAAAAACCATGTCTGAAAACACATGTAAAATACACTATAGCCATTATCTATTTATATAAAACACATATACAATACTTCTAAGGCCTCCTCTTAAAAATGTCTATTCCAGTAAACTGGTGGCAATTAAGCTAATGAATTACATTAGTTATCACAGTTATATTTGTTACCGTAGTAAACAGGCTGTATGTTTAACAGAAGTACCACTAAAACACCATCTAGCAGTATTGGAAATAAAGACAAACTGAAGTGGTTACCTTTTGTTGAGCATTTACTAAATTTTATGTTATGTATTTTGTAAAGATTTATTCATAAGGATGTCTAGGAAAACCAAAGGTTTTTCAAATTAACATGCACATCTAAACTAAATGCAAATGCATGGTTCATTTTTTAAATGCTTGGGTCTGTCTCAGAAAGGCCAGAAAGCACACATGCTGCTCTAAATAGGCACAAGTGGTTTTTGTTAACTCAAAAGATGCTTAAGAAATACAATTACAACCACATATATACTTCACTGACTAGGATCGATTTGATTTGAAAGGCAAAGAAAGAATGTATCATCTGTTCAGTGTAGACGAAAGATGTAACATTCTAAGTTTAGTGTACAATTTTTAAATTTTAGAATTTGTGGTTCTAACTTGAATATAAAAGTAGTCTATTTTTATTGGCTGAGAACTCCAGTAAATCTTTCTTCAGTTTTTTGACAATAGTAGAAGCTTTTTGCCAAGCTGCATTGGTATTTTCCCCTCTTCGTTTCTGAACTCCCTCACACCACCATATGTACATGCAGGGCTATCAAAGTCCTCCTCATTACCCAAAGGATACCCTGGCAAGGAAGTGGAACAGCAGCCCTACAGAATTACTCTGTACTTGGTCTGACATTGCTTTCCAAAAAAATTCAATTCTGGAAAATTAAATGAAAAACTGAGGAAAACCAAGCATTTGACCAGAATCCCTGAGAGGTGTATAATGTCTCTCACATAGATTTTATAATATTGTTTTGGGACTTTCTTTCATGTGCTCTGTGAATCTCAAATACTGACAGAATGGCTCATATACCAGAGAAAGTTTAGAAAAAAATGTACCAGCATGCTTCATGTCATTCCAGGAGGCAAAAAATTATCATAAACATTTGTATAAAATGCTTTCAGAGTGAAAACTACTGTATTACAGGATCTTTGATCATAATAAAAAAAAAAAAAAGAGTAACCAGAATTTTGTCTGACTTGTGTCTTGGTTCAGGAAAAGAACGCCCTGAGTTTTTTAGAATTCTCATCAACATGGTGGCGTCTATCTCAGTTATAAGAAATTCTCATAATTGTCTCCTCGTGGACTTCTCCCCTTCCAAAGGTAACCTCAATGACCCATGACTGACTCACTAAGATCTAACCCACCATAATTATTGGTATTTCTATGTTTGATGTTACCAGAGGCTGAAAATGTAAGTTATAATGGAATGATACCACAGAGCAGAATCTATATTCCATGCTGTTGGAATGCGTAGAATTTAGCAGGACATGGATAATTTATTCTGTTTATTCATTTATCCTGAATTCATGTTATACTGAATGTAATTTCTACTTATCCTCAACTGCACTCAGTCCTGCACTGTTTTATTAAAAATTGCATATTGTTACAACGAGTACAGAAGATAAGTTACTTTCAGTCAGTATGCATGACTTTCTTACACACACACTTAAAATTCCAGTTATCCAAAGCTAAGCTTTACTCACAGTACACTTTAAAAACAGTTGGGACAGATTTTTCACTCTTAGGAAAGCCAATTTCAAATGAGAATCACAAATACAGAACAAATCATTCCACGGAACAAAATGTCCGCTTACACAAAGCAATGCTGCTTCACAGTGTCCTTACTACGTTTAGATACCTGGAGATACTCATTTCACTTTATGATTCTTCCCTCAGAAATGTTCATAATGCATGAGATTGACTTTGCACAGGTTCACATATACAGGAAGCGATTGCCTGTGTAAGTGGCTTATCTTTGAAGACTTGTTTAATAATTTAGGCCTTAACTTTTGCAGTCACACAGCTCATAATTCACTTCAAAATTTTATGCATAAACATTTCTTATTGCTCCTTGCTCAGCTCAAAACCAATGTCCCCGCATGCCAGAACAAGGTGCTTTACCACATCAGCTTGGGACACATTTACAACTGAGGGAAATCAGTCTTTCAATACAAGGAACGTGTATCACTGTCATCGCTTCTCCTACAGAGCTTATGTGGACATTTTAAAATGCAAGGGTAAGAAATTTTCTCTAATTCACTGTGCTAAGCCTCAGAGCCCCTTCAAACACAAAAAGGCTGGACTTCTATTTCTCTTTTTTTTAATGCCATGAAATTACAGCTGCCAATACTGGTTTGTCATACAGATAATACCTTTAATTATCTAAAGCATGTTAGGAAATAACTGCACAGAATTAAAAAAAAGTAATACAAGATAAGAAAAACTGGAACCACTATTTTAATTATATATAGAATTAATTTTAAAACATGTAAATAACCTTATTAAAATTTTAACTAGCAAAGTGAATGTAATTTTTCTTTTGCAATCCTTGGCATAAATCTATTAAATCTCTGAAACTACAAAAAAAAAAATGCTTATGTTAATAAACTAAATAATTCAGTGTCAGGAAACAGAGTAAAATTCAAAACAAAACATCAAACTAACTCTGAAAAATCACATATCCATGCAAATTACAGATGATTTAAGTTCTTGATGAAAAGAAAAAGAGAAGAAAAATAAAGTCAATGCTTTTGTTATCTGTTTTACTGAGAAAAACAAAAACTATTTCATTCTTTCTAAGACATACAAAACATCTTGAGCAACAGGAGCGTTATTAGGCACAAACTGTCCCATAGCTCAGAGAAACAAACTTGTTAGAGTTCATAATAACACAATAATAATTCATTACTTTCAAATATTCTACCCTTGCAGCCACATTATTTTTCATATTTGTAAAGTCCTCATTTTCCGATCTTTGTATTGATGGCTAAAAATTTAATATCTGTAAAATAAAGTAGAACTTCTTTTCCTAAGTGAGGAAACTGCTACAGTTTGAATTAACAATCTGGATTAAACCAACTGGAAGGGTTAATTGTGCAGAGGCCCATTTCTAATAAGATATCAGGACTTGCCTCCATTCTGTACAGACTGAAGCCATCAGAACTCCCAGTCAGCCCATTGCTCATAAAGAAGTGGGTGGCATCCCTCAGGAAGCAGCCCACACTCTACCTGGGCTCCTCCCAGTTCATACTCACAACCCCAACAGCAAAGGCACTACCCAAGTGATACAGGAGTTTCTCAGGATGCACCGAGCCCTCTTCAGGAGAGAGAGGAAGGCAAAACACCAACATTTATTCTGACTCCACACACCGCCAAATGTGCCACGCTTGCCACGTCCAGCCCCCAGCTCTCACCCACTGGGCTCCTGCACTCACTGTTCTCTGTGTGAGAGCTGGCATCACATCCAAGTGGCTGGGCATTGGCAGGAGGCCATGCCAGCAGAACCTTGGCAGAGCAGATTAGATCCCTTGCCCAGAGAGGTTATGGAATCCTCATCCCTGGAAATGTCCAAGACAAGACTGGATGAGGCTCTGAGTAATGTGCTCTAAAGGAAAGAAGTCCCTGTCAGTGGAACAGGGTGTCAGAAAAGGATGATTTTAAAAATCCATTCTAGCCCAAACCATTCCACTACTCTTGTTTTGTGAAAGACCTGCACAGCCTCTCCCAGTGTTTGGGGCTATGCATAAGTAGAAAAGAATTTGGAATTTGATAGGCTGGGCTGAGCCACACCTCCTGCTGCTCCATGAGCCGCAAGAGGCTGAATGAGGTAAATCCAGGCCTGCTGGTTGATGAGGCAAGTGACAAAGAGCAGACAAATGGAGTCAGCTATTCAACATCACCTCTGCCTTGGCCTTCTCCAAAAATGCCTCTGTGCTTGGTATCAAGGGGTTCAAAGAGAAGCTGAACTATCAGTATCATACAAGAAACTACTTGAGATCAATCTTACAAGTCATTGTATCCGACAAATCTCATTTCAGCATACGGATGAAACTGGGTATTTCCCTTAAAGGCCATTTTCTGTCACTGTTAGAAATTCATGGAGACCAGAAGAAACACAACAAATGGAGAAAGTGTCTTCAAAAATGTCAAAAGGCCTGTGTGGGGAACAGGCCAGACAACCCAAGCAGTCCAGAAAATGGCATGAGTCCTCTTGGAGCACATTTTTGGGAATACAGTGGGTAAAGTGACTGGGAACAGTCAGCATAGAGTTATTGAGGATAAATCAAACCTAACTAAAGTGATGATCATCTATGATAAAACAACCACATCTGTGGATGAGGAAAGAGCATAAAATATCACTTCTTTTGATAAGGCTTTCAACACCATCTCCCACGATTCTTGTCAGGTCATTACAGACTGGAAAGATGAACTGCACAAGATCAGGATCAGAGGGTGATGGTAATTAGGCTGCACTCTATCTTCATGCCTTTGACAAGTAAAGCACCGCACACACAGATCAGTCCTGAGATTCTTCCTTAACATCTTTATCGATGCCATGGAAGAGGTGACAGAACACACACTTTTCAAATCTGCCAAACATCAAAATGAGGGCAATTGTCAATACACATGAGGGCTGGGCTGCAATCAGTCAGAGTCTGTATAGGCTTGAGGAACAGGCAGACAGAAGACCTTTGCCTCCATGAGAAAGCCCAGCAGTGCACCAGGTTTCCCAGAGAGGTCGTTCTGCCTCCCTTTTTGCAGTTTCCAAACTGTGACTGAATAAAGCCTCGAGCAGCCTGGTCTGACCCCAGAGGCAACTGCCTAAAGCAGAGGGCTGGACTCCAGCCCTTCTGAGGTCTCTTCCAAGCTGAACCATGCCGGGATCCTATCCCTGCCTGCAGTCTCTTGTAACCTGAAATGATAAGAGTATTTCAGGAGCTGCCTGCAAACACAGGAGAGAAAGCTTTAGGCGAGATTTAAATAAATGGTTTGGCTTTGCTACTCAACTGCACTGGGCACTTGTCTTTTGCCAATGTCCACGAATTTGTCTGCACCCAGTGAAAATGTTCTTTGGAGTCTCTGTCTTGCTTTAGGAAAAAACCAACAAAATCTAAAATCAAGAGCATGTACCACCAACAAACAACAATACTGACAATTCTAGATGCAGTAACACTGGGTTTTCCTGCACATGGGGGTACAGGCCAACACCCCTTTTCATACTGTAGCAGAGCTTTAGTGTGGGGGGAAAAGAAAGCCTAAACAAATCCCTAATTAAATGAAAGTTGTATGAAACTGGAAGCTGCCATCTTTTCAAACTCAGATGAGTTAACAACCTTCTTCTCCCCCATACAGATGTCCTTTGCCAGTTACCACATTGTGACTTAAATTTAATAGGCTCCTTACAGGCTATGTAAGTCCCACAGCATAAATCAGCATATAAAAAGCATATGCTTTTTTCTCTTTTTATTCCCTGGTAATATTCTCTTTTACCTAATCTTCCTCTAATAGTCTTCTCTCGTCACTCCTTATCTCCTATTTCACTCCCCTTCCTCAAACCTTCTGTTGTATATGTGAGAAACTTATTCCTGCTGAAGCCTCTCTTCCCTTCTTTTTTAACAGTATGATGAGGAAAGAGACTTAATGTCACACAGCTTTCACATGACTATAATGTTCCGGGTCTGGCTCTCTGCACACTGACATTCCTATGTAGCAAAATCTTATTTGAAAGTTTGGTCCAAGTCTCTTTGAATTTATCAGAATTATGTAAGACCGATAAGAAAAAACAAATACTATATATGTGGTGGGTAAAAAAACCCTCCACACCTGCTTTTTCATCTGATAAGTAAAAAGGGCTCATAACGTCCTTGTGGGAAAGGAGAAAGTAAGTTGACGGCCACATCTAACAAGTGCCATTGAAAATTTAGGCATAAGGCAATAAAATAACTGAAGTAGTTAAATAATTTTCTGGTAAATTATGAAAATGTGATATAAACTTGCAAAATTTTTATCGAAATTAAATCTGTTTTCTAGCATTTATGACCAGGGGGAAATGTTATAAAAGGGAAAGCATTTTTAGTACAAACAGACCAGCAAAGAAAAAAAAATCAATGTTCAATTTTTGGGTTTTGTTTGGTTGTTTTGGCGTTTTGTTCTGGAATTTAGGTAATAGTTTGAATAACATCAGAAAAATGTTGAAAAGCAACTGTAGATGTATGGGCTGTGACAGAAATACCCACAATAAATTAACTGAACAACTAAAATAATCTCATGTCATTAGACAACTTTTAAACTGTCTAAAATCATGCTGCTTTACATTTGAA